AATACCTCTTATTGCCTGCAATAAGATAGGCAAACTTTTTTGTATTTCTTTGGTTAATATTAATATACCTCTTTAGACATTCGTGGTATTATTTATACATTTTGGGTTTTAAAAAAAATGCTTTAGTGACATCATGCACATAACTTCTTTTTCACTGTTTTGAAATTTTTACTTATTTTCTTGTCGTTTACTCAATAGCCACTTTAGGAAATAGACTCAATAAAAAACATTAGATTGTAGTTAATTTTTTCTTCTTTTTAAAAGTTTCCTTAAGTATTAAGGGGAACATTCACACTTTCATCACTTCTGATACGTATTGCCAGGTGGCTTTCTATGAAGTATAGACTACTTATTCTCATTTTAGGATCCCTCTTGATGCCTTGATTCTTCTACTTATTTTTAATTAAAAATGAAAAACATAATTATACTTTTCTGTACATTCCTTATACACTTGGCATGGCGATTACTTTGGCCAGTAACTTGTTTCTAGACTACTACAGCCACTTCTTATCCTTCCTCACAGTGATATTCCAGACTTACTGAGGTCATGTGTGAAATGTTTAAAATCAAATGCACTAAATGATCAAGTATAAGATATTCTTTTCATGGTCAGGGAGTAGTGTGTTTTCTTCATCAAATACTAGGTAGGTAAGTCACAGAGAGCACTGATTTCTGCAAAATGCAGTTCCTTAAGACAGCAGCAAAATCATAGAAGAGCATCTATAAAGTATAGTATACATATTATAGAAGTATGTTCTTTTTTTTCTAGCCATAGCAAGGAGACAGTGTTTAACTTTGAATTTTAGTGAGGATTGCATTTGTTGGCAAGTGACCAAGAAGACTGGGGGTAGGCAGTCTGGAATTGGTGTGGTAGCTCCATCACGTCATGATTGTCCCATGTTACTATATCTTGACTCTGGCATAGTTGATACATGGGTTTCATTCTCATGGTCAGCTCATGGTTACAAGACGGCTGCTCTGATCCTAGAGGTAAGGCCTTCTTCCAGGCAGGAAGGAGAAAAAAGCACAAATGGCAAAAGGCAAAGGGATAGCTCAGCGTGTCTTTTATCAGGAAAAAAAAAAAAAGCTTTCTTGGAAAGCCATACCAAATAATCTTCTGCTTACATTTCATTGACCAAAATGATCATAAAGCTGCAAGAGGAGTCTGGGAAGGAAAATAGTTTTGGTTGGACACATTGCCACCCTGAACAAAATTGGGTCTGGCAGAGAGAAGGGGAAAATGGATATTAACTAGGCACCTTGCTATATATGGATATAAATATGTAATTTTTCTTTAGTAATATGAAAAATACCACATCTCTTTCTCTTAAACTGAGCCTAAACTTACCAAATACTCTGTGCTTAAATTTGTATCTCATATTAGATCAAACCAAACCAGAAGAAGAAATGTAACTGGTCTTCTCAAACCTGTTATTTCTCTTGTTCTTCAGGTTCTTTTTTCTTCTTTTTCTCAGTGCATAGTACCATTCAGGAATTTGAAATCCTCAGATAGTAGTAGTGTTTGACAAAGAAAACCCCAACAAAATACTGCTTTTAATAATTAAAGCACACCATTGTAAAGCAATTATACCCCAATAAAGATGTTAAAAAAATAATTAAAGCATTCCTGTGACATACTTTATATACCTGAGGAAAAAATAAAGCATTCTTCTAGGGTGAGTAGGAAAGATTACCTTCCCGCTTCCCATTTTCCATGGCTGACACTATTAGCTAACTAGTTAACTAACTGGCTAATATTTTAGATCTAGAAGTCCCTGGGCTACCTCAGTCATGAAAACCTTTTCATTGTAATTTTATGAATTTAAAACATGTGTATTGTATACATTGGACCCTAATTCTACCCATCTAAGTCTAATGGAGGGTCAAAGATGGTGATGAATCTTTTCTCAGGAAATGTGTTTCTTCCATTCTCTAAATAAATGTATAAATAAAACTTATAACTGCTCTCTGGAACCTGAAAAAAAAAAAAAACTTGGAGAGCAATTGACCTTAAAAGGTTTTTTTTTGTTGTTGTTGTTTTGGGTTTTTTTGCTTTTCAAAAACTAACAGATTATATAATTTTGCTTAATATATATGTGAAGAAGTCTTACAAGTTTTCTTTCTAACCAAGGGTTTAATTCCCTCATGTCCAGGAAAATACTACTGGATCTAAGAAATCATTTAAATGAAGGCATTGGTATTTGGTATGTTTTAGGGCTTCAAAAGTGAAATTCAATCATATGGCATAAGATTTTGTGTCCATGAAAGGCGGTATAGAACACTGGTTAAGGGAGTGTGCTCTTGAGCCAAATTGCCAGGATTATTAGCTGTGTGACCCTGAGCAAATTACTTATCTTCTCTGTGTGCCTCAATTTCCTTGTAGGTAAACCAGGGATAACATTGGTATATACCTCGAAGGATGGTTATTAGAATTAAATAAGTTAATTTCCACAAAGAAGTTAGTAGAGTGCCTTGCAATTTGTTAACAATCAAAAACATTAGCCATTATTTTAGCCATTAGGAATTTCTCTTTTCCAGTACAGTTTAAGGGCTCTTTTCTGGGTCATTTGTATCAGCAATCTCCAAAGTCCAGTGTTGTAACAAGTCTCTCTTAACATGGTTTCATTCTACTTTTGACATATACTAACAATGCAGTAAGAACTCAACATGTTTCTTTCTGCTTATAACTTAACAAAATAATAATTAAAGCAAGCATATGCAACAACAAAGATCAAAGCAATAATCCTTTTACTTGCTGCAAAACTTTTTAGACAAAAGCGTCAAAGCATATTTCAAATTATTTGGTAGTGACTTACAGCCTGTATTAATCTGATAAAGACTTGTTTTTTTAATTCTTTGCGCACTAAGAGCACATGGATCTTCAGAATATGGGTAGACACAGAAGCAAGATTTCATGTATCTCAGCCAAAGAGGAACGTAAATGGTGATTTTTTTTTTTTCTTAAAACGCTCAAAGCCTTATCATGTTGCAGGTAAAGAGAACGAAGCCAGAGCTTCCTCACAGGACACTCCTCATAGGTAGGAGACAGCACTTCTTTAGCAGGTCTCTGCAGGAAAGACCCTTGCTGCAGGAAGAGAGCTGGGTTTAGCTGCTTGAATGAGGGGCCACTGGACCCTCTCTTTTATAGGGCTAGGTGAGTGTGGCTTTGATTCATAACAGAGTGGCCAGACATTTGAAAGACAGGCGTCCCAGGCACAAGTAGCCACTGACTACAATAATAGCTAAAAGCCAATCACATTCATGCATTTCAAATGTAAAAAGTTGCATTGGCTAGCTTTACTCTATGGCCCAAGGCTTCAACACCTGTAGTGTGATAGCCAAAAGAACATCTTCCCAAGTGGCAATTGTTTGGAATTGCCCTGGGGACTCCGACTTACATACAGCCCTAGAAATATAAATTCCAGAGTTATATAACTTCATTCATTCAAGATTTGCTGTGGATAAAACACATGCACCCCAATGTTCATTGCAGCACTATTTACAATAGCAAGGACGTGGAAGCAACCTAAATGTCCATCAACAGATGAATGGATAAAGAAGATGTGGTACATATATACAAAGGAATATTATTCAACCATAAAAAGGAACGAAATTGGGTCATTTGTAGAGACGTGGATGAATCTAGAGACTGTCATACAGAGTGAAGTAAGTCAGAAAGAGAAAAACAAATATCGCATATCAACGCATATATGTGGAACCTAGAAAAATGGTACAGATGAACCAGTTTGCAGGGCAGAAATTGAGACACAGATATAGAGAACAAACGTATGGACACCAAGCAGGGAAAGCCACAGCAGGTGCGGATGGTGGTGTGATGAATTGGGAGATTGGGATTGACATGTATACACTGATGTCTATAAAATGGATGACTAATAAGAACCTGCTGTATAAAAAAATAAATAAAATAAAATTCAAAAATTAAAAAAAACCCCAGCTATTCAAAATTCCTGCTCAATTAAATCTAGTTCATTGTTAAGGTCCACAAAAATGGTAACTACTTTATGTATAACATTTAAGATTTCTGCTAATTAAATATTACAAATAGAAAAACATTACAGATGTGAGGTTGATTCTTACGAGCAACTGAAGGTAGAAAAGTCTATCTGATGAAAAAATTCTGAGCCAAATATCTCTGCATCAACAAGTATTCTTTGAAGTATTTATTGATCTCATTGATCGTTAGTAACTTCATGAAAGGTCGGTACTATGATTGCTAAATATTTCTGAGGAATTAAAGAAGCAATTTCAAAGGTACTGGATGAGCTAAAAACAGTGCCACGCCTCTTGAATGATGAGTTTATTTTCCAGAGTTTATGGATAATAGGAAGTCTTAAAATTACTCAAATACAATACTATTCCTCAGTACACTTATTAAACATTTTTAAACCATGGCATGCATTACTTTAAAGAAATCTACCATGCTTTAAATACTTGAGAGTTTATCTTTCTCTCCTGGGAGTGTAATTAGCAAAAGGGCCCTGGGCGCTAAGGCAAGGGAAATGAATTGGAAGAGGAAGCGAAGGAGGGTGGAGCGCGGTCCTTCTGGGTTAGGGATAGTTTTGCGTGTGCTAGTTTCTGAAAGAGAAAGGCTCAACGCAGGAATCTGGTGGTTCCTTGTAATCTCAAGATGGAAGTCTGGGCACTTGGGCTTGTCCAAATTGTGAAGAGGCCTCTCGACTTCCTTTCGCCTTCCATCCTCCAGTGTGGCAGTGGGTTTCGGAGGGAGGTGGCCGGAGGGGGCCTGTGGACCTCTTCCGCACCCTCCGCATCCCTGTCCGAGGCCAGCAGGCCTCGCCCACCCTGGATAAATTCCCGGAGGTCCCGCCCCTCGCTAGAGGAGAACTCCTTGGGGGCGTGCAAACGGGATCCTGCGAATGTTGACATTAAAGGAATACGCAAATTCAGCGTCGTGGTCCCCGCAGCTTACCCGCACCTATTTTTATACCTAAGCCAAGGTCACTCTTTAATACCCGGCCATTGCCTGAGCTGGGGCGTCGCGCTCTGACTAGCGACGGCGGCGGGAGCGGGGAGAGGGGGCGCGGGTGGCGGGGCGGCGGCCGCGTGGCGCCCTCCGGCCGGCCAAGCCCGCACCTGCCCGGCGCCCGCCTAACCAGCGAGCCCGGCGGGAGGCAGGGCGGCGTCCCGGACGTTGAGGAGGGGCCGCGCGGCGCGGGCGGGCGGGGGGATTCGCGGTGGGCGCGGGCGCCGCGCGGCTGCAAAGGCTGGAGGCGCTGCGGCGCGAGTGCGTCACGCTGGCGGAGGGCACGGTGGGCTGCGGCCGACCCGCCGACCAGGAGCCGGGCGTCCCGGGCGAGGGGCAGGCGGCTGTACCGGCCCCCGCAGCCGCGAGCGGCGCGGCCCGGGCCCGGCTGGGGGTCGCCAGCGAGCCGCCGCCGGCTTCATTCATTCCCGCGGCTCCGCCTCCTTTCCCGGGCTCCGGCGGCGCGTCGGAGGTGAGTGCGCGGCCCGTCCCGGGCGGGGGCCGCGGGCCCAGGCCGAGGCTGCCCGGTCCGGCCTCGCGCCCCGCCGGCCCCGGCCCCGCACCCCCGTGCGCGGGCGGTGACGCGGACCAAGAGCTGCGGGCTGCCCCGAGGACTCGGGCGCGACGCAGGCCCACGCCGGCCACCCGGGCCCGGGGCGCCCGTCCAGCTGCGGGCAACTGGCCTTCTTCCCCGAGGGGCGTGTGGCACGCCCCAGGTGCACCGGCCTCCGCGCCAGCGCCACCATTTTGTGTGAGGGAATGCCTCCTCCTTCCTCCGCTCGCCGCGGCCCGTTCCCCAGCTGCTGCTTGCTGTGCCCCCTCTACTCCCCTCCCCTCCCCTCCCACCTCTCCCACCTGGAGCCTGTCCGCCCGGTCGGTCGCTTCGGCGTGGGGGAAGCGGACCTGGTGGCTGGTGGGGCGGAAGCGTTTGGACTCGGGTTCAGCCACGGATGCTCTGACCGCTGCTCTTACCTTTAACCACTTTTGGAATAGGTATTGTATAGATTCCGTTCTAGAATGTAGGTCATTACAATTTTGTTCTAATTCTTAGCTGTCCATTATGCAATTTTTCGAGGCCTGTGCCCTAGGAAATCAGTGGGTGAAGCTTTGGTTTGTTTATGGCTCAGGGATCTGGATTACATTTACTCCCATTATCGCCCTTTGGGAGAGGGGGTGAAGTATCTCACTGGCTTTTCAGCTTTTGGAAAGTGGTATGAGTGTCTTGCCTGGAGTAGATTCTAAAATAACCACTACCCCTTCCTCTTTTGGGATATCGTTTCAAAACCTCAATGAAAACGCTCTCGTGTGAGGATTTTGAGGGGGGTAGGGACAGGTTGCTAAAAGACTACCCAAAGGAAAAGTTGTGATTTAGAACTGTTACACCTTCCGTCATTTTCACGGTTCCAGAGAATTTGGTAATTCTTGTTTCAACTTGTCTCCTCGCAAATATACGTACGTACCCAGTAGATTATATTCCGGTCATCTGTATTTTATCACTGCATCACAGACAGGGATTAAAGTCTGGAATGGTGGCAGTTGCATAATACACACATTTGGGCCCTGGAGGGAATTCACTAAAATGGATCGGGGTTTGATGTGCCTTGTATCGTCTGCTTGCATTTATGTGTGTATGTACAAAAGATGTGTAGGTTATTTTTGCAAACTGTATTTTGCTTTTCTCCTTCAAGAGGAACGAGTTTTAGTGACTAACATGGACAAGATTAAGTTTTTGGTATGTGGATGAGACTAAGCTTTTGGTTTTTAAAAACCTTTGCTTGTTTGTTGTTGTTTGTTTTTTCTGGTGGGGGGAGCCCAGGGAATGTGGTGGTGAGAGGAACCTGCGAAAAGTCCATTTGTGATAAGACTTCCAGTACAAATAAAGGTGAAGTATCACAGCCTTTCATGGAAAGCTTGTAGCTGTCACAGTGAACTCCTCTCTTTGAATTTATGATGAGGATTGGCTTAGGGAACTTAGCTCGTATGAGTAGCAACATCGGTCTGCTGCTTGAGTGATTATAACCTAAGATGCTTTACCTGTGGATTTTAGGTTCTAACAAGTTCCAAATGAGACTGACCTTTGAAATAATATTCGAATCATTACAACTGGTATCATTTCTCTAATAAAGATACAATATACGTCAAACGAAAGGCTTAACTTTGATTTGGAGAAAACAAAATATTTTATAGTCAGATGCTTTTGAGAGTCATCCTCTTTATTAAATTACTCTGAACTTTTTTTCTGATTAGTTGAAGACTCTCTCACTTAGTATCTCTGCAAACACATGATTCCATATCATGTACCATCCCTAGCAGAAGTGTCATGACACTCCTTAATGACATGTTCTGTGGGAAGAATTATGGAGGTGAAAGGGACCTTGGACATCAAGAGATGAGCTGAGAGATGTCTTGTTTCAGAGAACTTAAGGAAGTAAAGATTGCCTGCTAAGGATTGCCTGTGCCCTGACTGGACCTGTGCTAGGTCCCAAGGGATTGAGATTGTTCTCGCCGGCAAGTTCAGCACATAGTCAAACACAATCCCTATATCTTTACACTGATTCTCTTAATACATGTGTCAGTACTGAACTGGTACTATTGAATTTAATTAACCTGAGTTTGGAAGTGATCTTGGTGTGCTTTTTTTATCTTTAATGTGGCTTGAGATTTTGAGATCATTATACCAATGGTTGAGAAATTGAAAAGAGAAAGAAAAACCTAACATTTTTCTACTTATCTCCTACCTAACTAACCTTTTTTAAGCCTTCTGTGTGTGTTAGGTTCAGTCATATGCCTAAGATTTACTTTTTAGAGTTAATTAGAATACAAAAGGATTGAGTATTCGGGCAGGTTTTCAAAAAATATCATGGATTCTGTAGAAAGGATCGTTGGTTGAGTAGGAAGTTAAACAAAACTTTCGTGTTTATTCCCATTTCTAAGATTTTATGATTCTAAATTGAAAAAAAGAATTGCACGATTATTGTGTTTACAGTGATTTTCTTTTCACACACCTTTAGGCTTCTGATCCTTTGTATGTTTAACCCTGAAATTAAAGTACTAAATTTGGCATGCTTCATCGGTAGTAGGGGTATTTCACAATTCTTTAGTACAACAACGACAAAATTACTCAAGGTTGTATTTATTAAGGAAGAGGTGTGATGATTTAAAGATAATCTGGGAACAGCTGATAATTGTTAGACTCATTGAATTTTAGAGCTGGTATATGAAACCTTAAGGTTTATCTACTCTGTAGGAGGGATCTACTCATCTAGTCCAACCTATTTTTTGGGCCAGAAAGTTTGTGACTTAGCACATACTTTAAAAAAAAAAAAGCATGATTTTAGTTACCAACTGCTCCAATGAGATGTTAGTTCTAGGTTACACCGAAGGGAGCTTTCATGTATTCAGCAAACACTGAGTGTCTTATGTTATGGACCACAAAACCAAATAGACCCCACCCTCATGGTGTTTATAGTTTAGTGAAGTATTGTGGATTAAAATGTTAAAAATTCCTTAAAATCTAAATGCAGAAAAGATTTTTGCAAATATGTATAGGGAACAAATCAACTTAGTAAATTGTATTCTTTAAGAAAGTGCCGGGGCTTCCCTGGTGGCGCAGTGGTTGAGAGTCCGCCTGCCGATGCAGGGGACACGGGTTCGTGCCCCGGTCCGGGAAGATCCCACATGCCGCGGAGCACCTGGGCCCGTGAGCCATGGCTGCTGAGCCTGCACGTCCGGAGCCTGTGCTCCGCAACGGGAGAGGCCACAGCAGTGAGAGGCCTGTGTACCGCAAAAAGAAAGAAAAAAAAAAAGTGCCAGACTGCATGTTGGGGGACCCCTGCATTTATGGATTGTGTAGAGGAGAGGGTTCAGTTGCTGAAAGAAACTGAGGGAAAGAAGCTAAAAAATAGAATTGAGAGAGAGTGTTGTCCAGGGAAGGAGGGAAACTTTTAAGTGGCACAAAATAGTCAGTTGGGTCTGGTCTGTCATAAGGACAAGAGGGGTGAGAATGAAAATAATCCCTTGAATTTGGGAATTGAGAGGTTATTGGAGGCCTTAAGAAAAGTAATATAAGTATAGCGATAAGGGGAGAAGCCAATTTAAGAATGAATAGCCGTGGAGAAAAAGTCAATGAGCTTGACTGTTGTACAATGATTGATAAAGTAATAAACTGTACTGATAAGGAACTTTTTAGTCTGAAGTCTTTTTTTTTTTTTTTTACCTTTTGGCCACATGGCAAGGCATGTGGAATCTTAGTTCCCCCACCAGGGATCAATCCTGAGCCCCCTGCAGTGGAAGCACGGAGCCGTAACTGCTGGACCACCAGGGAAGTCCCTCTAAAGTCTTATACGTATTAACAATGCTTTCAGGTTTAGATCAGCCAGCCCCTGATATATCAGATGAAGTTATTCTGATTCTTAAATTCAGAGGCAGTATAATTCCACAATTTAAACCAAATAGACATAAGTTTGAACCCTGGCTTTATAAAAGAGTAGTTAGAGCTTATCTCAAAATGTTGGCAGAGGTAAATGTGATAATGTTCCTAAAGGTGAGCTACAACTAATGTTATCATCTATGAGATTAGGATCGTTTTTTGTTTTTGTTTTTTTTGGTATCTAGTTCAGTGTTTCTAATCTTTTTCTCTCTTTTATTATCTTCTCCCCACATCGCGCCACGTACAGCACTTTTTTGAGGTACATTTCAAAGCACTGATTTACTTTTTCTTTTTTAAAATTGTGATTTCTCTACCACTTGTCAGAGCTTTTGCTTTACCTGAGATAAAGTATAACCAAAATGAGTTGAGTTGGTAGAATTCTAGTTAAAACCAAGAAAATCTTTGGTTTTCACTATTTTGTGTATTATGTAGGGGAAATACCTGTTTTTTGAAAAATTGAAAGTAATTCATGTAGTCCCCTTTATAGCTTTTGTGGATCCCAGACTAAGAATCTGTTTTCTATTAATTAATCATATGAGTGGAAAATAGAGCTATATTTAGCAAACAACAACCACATGTTAGAAGTCTTGATATTTAGCTTTGTAAGTTAATGCATATCTAAAAGTCCTTGAAATTAATTTCAAGGCTGAGGAGATTTCTTGATAAATTTTTCTAAACAGTGAAAAAAATGGAAGTGATTCTGAGTAAATTTTGTTTGGAGAATACTTTTTGTATCTGAGTAGCTTCTCAGAATGGCGACAACAACAACAAAAAGCATAGTTCTATTTTATAAAATGGTTCATATGATTTTACAATTTCATACACAAATAACCACTCAACTGAAGTCTAGAAGCTCCTGGCTCTCCTTTCTAGAACTGGCGCACGGATGTTCTTTATTTACGACAGGGCAGAGAGATGTTACTCCAACCAGAGTTGGAATGTATCAGCTGTCACTAACAGGACTCTGATCAGCTAATTGATTGGTCTGTGTTTTCATGCGGCGTGATACATTTGTGGGTAGAATTTATTGTTGGGAAGGCCCA